TCTCTCTCTCTCTCTCTCTCTCTCTCTCTCTCTCTCTCTCTCTCTCTCTCTCTCTCTCTCTCTTTCTTCACCTTCTTCTTTTGAGGCAGACTTTGATAATCCTACAGTTATAAGCACAATCTAATATTACCAAGCTAAACATTTGACAAATAATCAAGGCTTACACTGGAAATACACTATCTAATCCAACCTAGTTAGTGATTTCAGTAAATTAGAGTAAAAGGAACGCCCACTTATCTACCTCTAATTATAGTACAATATTTTATCAACTGCAAAGATTTCCGTGCAGGAAAACTATGCTAACAGAGGTCAGGAATTCTTTTATAGATACTGGTGCCCGTAAACTATTACTGAAAAATTCTCAATTTCATAACATTAAACTGAGTTTATAATCAAACGCGAAGGAGAAAACCAACTACGTAGGGTACATGTCATCAACTAAAAGCCGAAATCCCAGGGGAATTATGAAAAACCATCCTAAGCTAGCCCAGTTTTTGGATTGCAAAGTGAGCTATTCTTGTTAATTTTGTTACAGCTTATATGAATAAGGCAGGTGCAATACTTGGCATTAGCATCGTATGCCCCAAAATTAGTAATGTGATAACTATTACATTGAAAGGAACAGCATGAAAAGAGAACCCCAAAAAGAAGAGATGGCTCAGTTTTACCTTCTATCATTACCAATACTGTGATTGTTCATCTCCAGAGAATTGTTCTCATGAGATGGCAACGGAGGAGACTTGGCTTTTTTGGCAACATGAAGACCGATAGGGTAGGTCCGAAAATTAGCCACAGCCCCATGTGCATTCCCATAAGCTGCAACAGGAGAAAGCCTCTGATTGTTTGCAGACGGAAGGCTAACTTGTCCTTCTGGCTGCCGGCTCAAACTAGGAGGGGGTGATAACCTGCATCACAAAACACACATAATATCAGCACTGTCACATCCATCACTGATCCGTAACATTTTTTGAGGCATTCACCAGCTACTTAGAAAAACAGAAGTCATGTTTCACAAACTACTAAAACAATTGAAAGCTTATTAACAGGTGCAGTAACCAGTCACAAGAATTTCTACATACAATATAATGTTTGTTTTTGGTCATAGAAGCACAATAAGTTGTTCAACTGCCATTGAAATGCTATTTACTCACTGACACAAAAAAGAAGAAAATACTTCAAAAAGGCTTCAGACCATTTTTTCTAGTTTCGAAAATTGAATGTTGTTTGATATATTACTGAACTTCAAAAAATCACATAAAGCAGACATGCAAACAAAATCAGCTAGTGCAAACACATACATCTGGCATAAAAACTTAGATATATACATATGTGCACTGTTGTGAAGCACAAAATGAGATCACATATTCAGCAACCTTGCCCCATACTTATCATTAAGAACCCAAGGGTCCAATATGGTATGAATCCAAGGGTCCAATATGGTTGTATAAACCATATATCTGTTGAAGCATAGTTGGTTTTGACAATTCGCATATGCAGCACATTTTATGGGTAATACGTCTTGTTATGGCTAAACGTTTTCTTTTACCATCTAAATGTTTTTTTATTCTATTTACTTTCATTTGAGTTGGTTTTTCATATAGGTCTTTTCATCTACCGTTAGTTGTAACTCATATAAACCCATCCATACTATGCATGGCATGGAGATTCCAGACTTTTCTATTTTTTAATATTATTTTCCTTTCTTTTCTATTGAGAAACAATATCGCTTCATTAAAATAAGACACTATATATAACCATCAAATCAAATGAATATAATCATAAAAACAAGTAAATAGCGCATCACAATAAATTCAACCCAAATCCTTTTCTACCATAAGAACCCAACCAAACCCATATATAAAATCTCCTTCCCCTCAAACCACTTGAATCTATATGAACTTTTTATGAACTATGTGAATTTTTTTCCTAATAGTTCCACCACACTAAGCATTACGTATCACACATAGATGTTTTTGCAGTACACATGTTTTTGATGTAGTTTCATTACCATTAGTTGCAAGTTGTAACTCAAATAACCCTTCCAGAATGATCTCAACTAGGCATGGACGCTCCAAACTTCTCTATTTTTTCATATTCTTTTCCTCTTATGTATTTCTAATTATCCAAATTTTTTGAACTCTATGTAAACTTTCTCATTGTCCATCAATAGTTCCACCACACTAAGCCATGTGTACCATGCATAGATGTTGCTGCAGTATGCATCAATAAAAGGCATAGATATTTCTGCAGCATGGTCAATAAAACGCAAAGGTGCATATTGAAGCTTACCGCTTATGAAAACAAGCTCCCTCAGCATAAATACCATATGAATCTTACACTTATCAGATAATAGAATAATTAGTCGTATGCAAAATGCAAAAGAGCAAGGATTGTTACCTCCTAGCATTCACATTTGGAGGATTATAAAGCCCCAGAATATCATCCTCATGGGTGGGCAATGGAGGGGACCTGGTCCTTATGGCGAAATTGAAGCTGTCAGGTTTCATTGAAAAATTAGCCTCAGTATCATGTGCATTCTTCCTAGCTGCAACAGGAGTCAACCTTTGGGGACTCCTAACGTATGAAGAGCTAGGTTGGTTAGGCAGATTCTCCCAACTAGAAGGCACAGCAGACCTGCACGATAAGAAATAACATTAGATTGTTTCTAAGCCAGTCTAATAGACATGTCCGTACCTATGCAAATGAAAAGAATAATAAATCTTGTGTTATCATTCACATGTTTATCACCTTGTAATGTATGGTCAAGGAATATGTTAATAGAAAAAGGAGAAGAATAAAATTAAAAGCTACCGTCTTGCATTAGCATCTGGAGGGCTATAGAGTCCCAGAATATCTTCCTCGTGAGATGGCAAAGGAGGTGACTTAGTCCTTTTGGCAAAATTGACGTTCCCAGGGTAGGTTGGGATGTTAGACCCACCATCACCTGTAATGCTACTGACTGCAATAGGAGATAAACCTTGGGGACTCTTAATTGGCTGATTATCCCAACTACAGTACATAGCAGGCCTGGACAGTAAGACAATGTCAGAGTTGTATTTATATCAGTATGACAATAGAGATATCACCCCCACCCACCAGCTCTCCCAACCAATGAAATATAGAGCGTGCTCAAACATAAATCCTCCCAACCAACAATGCATGCACAACTCCTCCCTCACCTTGGAAGACATGCCCATGCACAAACATGGGTGTGCACGCACACACAAAGAAAGTGTGAGTTCATGAATGCACAAACTTTTGCAACACCCCCCCCCAAAAAAAAAAAAAAAAAAACCCCCCAAAAAAACAAGAAATACACACCTGTCTAACTTGAGCACATTCACAGAAACGCATGTATGCACAAAAGATAAGGGAGAGAGTTAAGATATAACCAGCAAACCAGTCAATTTGATCAAGATCTACTGACACTAAAGAAACACCAGTTAGCCTCAAGCTACTCAAAATACTTACCCTCCTTAACTCGATTGACCCATCACTCAAAGTGAATTTCATTTCCTAAGACATAAATAAATTTAAAATTTTATGATTTAAAACCTCAAAACAATGTATCACATGAATAACAAATGAACAATTTTTCAATAAATAAATGTGTCCACTAGATCCACGATCAGTACAAAACGTCTAAATCACATGATTTCTCGTATATTACATTTTAGGTCATAGGTAACAAGATGATCGGCAAAATTCATTCAAAGAGGTCAGAGATTTAAGAGAATGAAGTCCCACAAGTGGAAATATCTTGCCATATCAATTGGGACCCATTTTCACTCAATATTAAAAAGGATTGGACGTCAAACTTAAATTCACAAATATAATGGAAAAAATATTACAGAAAGCTCTAGGCAGACTAGGTGGTTGCTTATTTTTAATACTATTTAATTACCTCGAAAAAGATGACCAGGAGAGAAGAGGAGGTGGTTGAAGTGGTGGGCGAAGAGGACTGCGGCGACCTCCAAGAGAAGAAGAGGTGGTAACTAGGGTGGTGGGAATTTGTCGAGAGACAAGGAGGTCGAGTGACTGGTGGTGTGGCTGCGGTGGTGGGGATTCATCGAGAGAAGAGGAAGAGATAAGGAGGAGGTCAAGTGACTGCGGTGGTGGGGGTTCGTCGAGAGAAGAGGAGGTGGTGACTGGTGGGGGTTTCCTCAAGACAGAAAAAGAGAAGAAGGGAGAGCGGAGTTAGGGTTTGTCGGTTTGGGAATTTGCGGGAGAGAGAGAGAGTTTCGGTTTTAATAATTAATGAGTCGGATTTGGGTTTGTGGGCTAGGTTTGTATTGAAAATCTTTTTTTTAAAGTTAGTTTGGGCTGGGCAAAATTAAGGGATTTTTTTTCTTTTTTCTTTTTAAATATAGGCGGCCTGCCTAAGAAGACCGCTTAGCCCTAGGTGCCGCCTAAGCTTAGATTGGCCGCTCCGACCAATTCTAGGTGGCTGGAGGTCTGCCTGCACCTAGGCCGCTTTTTAGAACACTGAATGGAGAGATTCAAATTGAAAGTCTACTCTGCTTATGTTGATCTACACCATTTAAAATTTCTAATAATAAAGAAATGAATTGATTATGAATTTTATTCCAGCCAACAAGCAGGCACGGTGGGCACAAAAGGAAAGCTACTAGTAGCAAGTAGCTAGATCCAAAATGTAAGATGTTTGATATCCTACAAAATTAGTCATCAAGATCCCAAATTGTCTAGAATCATCAATTGTCTGGATAGTAACCTTATACATTCCAGATTTGATGCGAAGAAACTTGTTTATTTTCACCCGGTTTTGTGCTCACTTTACACATAGAATTTAATAATCGTTCAGTTCAAATGGTTAACATTAAGATGAATGGAATAATTTGTAATTAGAATAGCCTATCATTTGAATAAAAAGGACACTACTCCTCCTTAAGAAAGAAATCAGGTCTCTCCCCTGCCTCTTTTCTTTCAATTATTTCTTTCTAGTTTTTAAAAGCTTTATGTTATATTGTAACACTTAAGTCTTGAAAGAAATCAGGTCTCTCCCCTGCCTCTTTTCTTTCAATCATTTCTTTCTAGTTTTTAAAAGCTTTATGTTATATTGTAACACTTAAGTCTACTTATATCTCATCACACATAACTAGGCATGAAGGACTAATCTAAACATTTACACACGCAAGCGTTCACATGTTATCTAATACTTCCTACTTAGAAACCAAAATTACACAGATAATAAGTCAAAGGGGGATAAACTACTCTACATGGAGACGTAAACAGAACTCAGGTCATGTGTTCCGTCCTACAACCAATTGACAAAAAGTTAACAGATACTAGATTCTTACAACAAAACAATAGTCCAAGACTCCAAATATCAAATGATCAATAACAGGAGCATCAGTTATAACTTTATTACAAATTATGAGCACACATCATGTACTTGAATCTCATACATTCCTTCTATAACCACTGGAACGATTTTTTTTAATCTAAAAATGGTGAAGAGACTTGAACATCACATTCTTGTGAATGATCCAAATTCCAAATTCCAAATCCTTTTTACTGGAATAGAACTTCAGCAAATAAATTTTGGCTTCTCGAACAAGCTATTGTGCATGATTTGAAATTTGAAACTGTTGTATCCTGAATCAAGTTATACAAGACTACAAAAGCACATTTTATGGTTTTATACGATTCTCTAATTCTGTTCACCTTAATTATTTTTCCCTATTAACATCAACCAAGGACATGACAAACATGTTCAACCATTACCAACATCTAAGACCCAAAACAACCTTTCCATTAGACGGATATGAACAAGTTCCTATAATCTATATATAAACCTACAAAGTCTTTTTGACCGATTTTTATCTAATAAAAACCACCTAGCTGCATACTCATGTATGCCAAAATCAAGTAAAAACGACAGGTTGAGCTAGAGAGCTGGTCTGCTTTCAGACCAGATGTCATATTCCAGCATAGAAAGTCATAAACAAAGATGGACTTCAGAACAAAAAATATCACCACATTACAGTAGGACTTAACTATTAACTTATTTGTGAATCTAACCTCAAAAAGTAAATACAAATTAAAATTCAACAAGGTCCTTCTTAGAATATAAACTATATTCCTCAATCCTCACAACTTTGGAATTTAGGTGTAGTGGCAAGATTATTTACAAGGTATCAGCCCGACCCAGGCTCAAATGCAAGAAGCCACGAATTTAAAACGGATTTTAAAATAATAGTTTCCGCCGCGTAATTCCAATTTTTGTCCCATAAAAGGCACTCAACCTGCGGGGTGCGGGGCACGTTAGAGTATAAATCTATATCCCTCAACTCTCACCACAATTTCCTGAGTTTTGGTGTAGTGGCACGGTTCTTCGCAGTTCTCAACCATTAAACCCTTCAGAGTTGACCTGGGTGCAGATTTTTGTACAGGAAGAAAGTTGATTCAATTAACCATTCAACCAAAACTTCTGACTTCAAGGAACTGCTAATTAACAAATTTCCTCATGTCTCCATTATTTCTATGAATATTGATAGTATATTCATTGTAATTGATGAAACTCAAATGCATAAACGAAAATCCCAAATCTCAACTAAATTTGAATCCAGAGAGTCCCCAGCTCAGCTGAGGCAGACTTAATTTCACAAACCTTAATCGAACATAGAACATCCCAAAGCCCGAATTTTTCCAGGCTCTCACAAAGAAAACTTTTCTCAAGAAAGGAAAAAAGAGGAAATTTTGAGGAATCACTAGTCACAATTTGAAACGTACAGAAAGAAAGGAAGTACCTTTGTGGTCTCGGCGTCGTCTGCTGCTTTTGAACCGGCAGCTGAGCGGCAGAAAACGGGATCTCGTTATGAGAACTAGGGTTAGGGTTTGGCCGTGGAGGAGGAGGGAAACAAGAGGCGGGCTCTCCGAACGATGCTTTGGCAGGGCCCGAGGGGCCTGAGTTCGTACCGAAGGAGAACGCCATGCCAAAGCAACCACTGAAATGAAGTAATTCCTCTTGATTTGCTACCAACTTTATAATAGCATACCTATCTCATTAAACAAATTAAGAGTATATTTTCTTTGAGATAGTTATTAGTTAAACTCAAATCCTTAAGAAATGTCTCTGTTGTTCCAAATCATTAGTTTAAGACTTTGCCTGTATAAAGCTTTTCACTGACAATAAGAGAAGGAGAGTCCAGGATAATCAAAACAACCACTGAAATAACATAAGAAGCCTCTTTATCTGATTCAAAAAGTTATTAACTAATAATGAATGCCTAAAATTGTAGCAGTCTTCCACAAAACAATTTCTCTTAGTCGACAGCGGACCAAGACCAAAGTCTTCCACAAAACAATTTCTCTTAGTCGACAGCGGACCAAGACCAAAGTAGTCAAACCGAGGAAAATTAATCCAAAGAAAGATCAAACTCCAGTGATTAGTTCAAAGGAAAATTAATCCAAAGGAAAATTAACCTCAAAATCCAGTGATGTTCGATTGAAGACCTGAACGTTGAAATTGCTCGATCAAAGGCCTGGATTTGAACAGGAGAGACGCTCGAACTAGACTCAAACCCTAATCGTTGCCTCCACAAGTTGAAGATTTGATTCTCATTCTCCTGTTGATTGATAGGAACTAGGGCTCGAATCACTCGATCGGAGAGAGATGAGGGGTGAAATCGAGCGCTTGAGAGGTGAAATCGAGCGCTTGAGAGGAGAGAGACCGAGAGACGGAGAGAGGAACTATGTGCTCGTGTTTGAAAAGAGGGGAGAAAGAGAACGACGCGGATCAGATTGGTTGGTTACGGGCGGGTTCGGTTTTCAACTATTTAAACTATATGGAAACGATACCCACTTATTTAGGACCGGGGGCTGTTTGGTTGTTGTTGGTTACGGGCGGGTTCGGTTTTCAACTATTTACTACATGGAAACGTATTATATTATTACCTTTATATTATCTGGTTGACCGGTTATCATGTGGAATGGGCAATGTATTATATTATTACCTTTATACTATCTGTTTGACTGGTTATCATGTATTACAGTGTGTCATATATGTATTACATTATTGCCTTTGTATTATCTGTTTAACTGGACATCATGTACACGCGATTCTGTTGCCATGTGTTATTTTATTAATTATTTGCATTATATACTTTTGTTGGATATTCATTATGTTTTCAAAGTATAGATGACAAAAGGATTTCGTAAAAGAGCGCTTGAGAGATTATTTGGTAGACATTCTGGATGCGACGCAAATGCCTCTACGTTAGGTATTTTTATTTATTTGTTATATCTGTACATTTCTATAAACTATTAACATGAGCCTAATATTTTTTAAACATTTACTACACAGGAGGAGGAGATGCTACACATGACTCGCAGCCACAGGACACATCACGCGGAGATGCTCCACATGACGTGGAGACACGGGCTGATCCTACACGGCATGCGGAGATACCACCACCACCGCATGCAGATGTATTGGAGGAGAGGAGATTTGAGTCGTACAACGTAGCTTTAGAAGCTGTGGTACTACCGCCAGATTCTATTACGGATCAGCGAGTCCACGGTCCGACCAAGGTGAGGGATGATTGGGATTTTTATCATGCTATGCGCCCCATCGCATAGCAAAGGTACGAACAAGCAAAGCGTAGATGCCTCGAACTGAAAGGTATGAATAAATTTTTATAGTTTATCGGTTATTATTTTAATTTTTTTTCACAAATATAGATTGATTCATTGTTTCATTCGATTCTTTGTTTCGCAGGTACCAGGCAACCTCCTAGACACGGCCGTAATGCTACCAAGGAAATGAACCTCATCCCTGATATTAATCGGAGGGCTGTGATCCGATGGGAAAACGGAGTGCCTGTCGGGGCCTTTGCCAATGCTTTCAATAATTTCCTTGCCGCTTTAGCCAGGAGACACGATTTCTTCAACATTTTTTTGACGTGGAAAGCTTTCAATAATTTCCTTGCCGCTTTAGCCAGGAGACACGATTTCTTCAACATTTTTTTGACGTGGAAATCACAACGGATTGATGCGCTCGTGGCTTGTTGGAGATATATATATGTATGAGTCATTTATTTTAATTTTCATCATTATTAGTTATTTGTTTATTATTATGTTTAATACACTGATTTGTATCTATTTTTTCTTTATATGCTGAAGCGATTTTTCTTTCTTGACGATAATATTTGTGCATGGACGTACTGCTTCGGACAAATCAATGTATCGTTCAAGAGATGGCGGTTTGAGATAAAGAAAAAATATTTTATCCAAATAACAGAAGATTGGGAGCGATTCTGGCATCTTGACGAGCGTGTGGATGGAGTAGATTTTTTTGCACTTTGTGATTACTGGAACATGGCTGAAATTTAGGTATTATTGAAGTATATATTTTTAATTTATTGTTTGAATTTCTATATTGTTTCGAATTGACATTGCTTTGCAGGTTCAAGCCGAAATAGCAAGGAGGAATCGCAACGCGCCTCGCAGTTACGAGCATCACGGGGGCTCCAGGACATTCAGCCAGCATTATCATCAATTAGAGCTTGAGGTATATAATATATTAGCTTTTACGTTGAGTATAATTTATGTGTTATGGGTTAATGATATATTTGAATAAAATAGGGAAGGGGAGATCTCAGATATTTTGCAGATCGTATTCTGACTTCCTGGAGCCCGAATTACGCCGATGAAGAGAAGAAAGCAAAGAATAAGGATCTGGCTGTAAGTAGCAGTTCATTTATATATTCAATTTCATATCAATGCATCATTATTAAGTCGAATTGTCTGGGTTGTTTTGATATATCGCAGGAGAAATTACATGCCAAGGTACAGGAGTAATTGACTCAGTCTCAGGTCTGTTCTAACACTCCTGCCCGGCTAAGTAGAGAGGATGAGAACTCCATCATCGAGACGGTCATTGGACCTAGTAGGAAGAACAGATATCGGTGGAGAGGATCCGAGCAGAGGCCGCACGAGTCTAGTAGTACCTACGAGTCTGTAGCACCACAAGGAACACCAGGAAGCAGTTCATATCAAGACTCGATGGAGCAGCGATTAAAAGCGATTGAAGATTAGCAGTCACAGCAAACAACATATCAGCGGGCTCTAGAGGAAGAACGGAGGCGCCAGGAGCAGACCGTATTGGAGTTCACACAATTCATGTCGACTCTGGCTCAGGAGGCTCAGGAGGCATATAGGAGACGGTTTTTGTCGTCACAGGTAATATATATACTTTGCTTTTTTTTTAATTAGATGATATCATACATACTGATACACACTGATACAAACTGTTACACACAAACTCTAACTCAAACCCTAACACAAACCTCAAAATATATACTTATAATGTTTTTATGTGATGGTGGTGTTGATGGTGTATGCGTGCGTAGTGTTGGTGGTATTGGTTGGTGGGTTGGTTGGTGGGTTGGTTGTGGTGTTGTGTAGTGGTGGTCGTTATGTGATTGGTTTGTGAGGGGTTTTGTCGTGGTGGGGGGAGGAATGGGGATTGGGTGTTGATGGTGGTGATGGTAGTGATGGAGGGGGAGGGGGTGTGTAGAGTATGATTGGTTGGTGGGTAGGGGCTTTGATCGTGGTTGAGGATGAGGAGTGGGGATTTTGTTGTGGTTGAGGGGTAGGGGTAGGGCGAGGGGGAGTGTTGTTGGTTGGTGGGTGAGGGTGAGGATTTGTGGTGGTGTTGTTGTGTTGTGTGATGTGTGGTGATGTGTTATGCAGTGTAGTGTTGTGTTGAGTTGTGATGGTGTAGTGTTATTGTGTTGTGGTGTTGTGGTGTTGTGTTATGATGGTATAGTGTTGTTGTGTTGTGGTGTTGTGGTGTTGTGTTATTGTGTTGTGATGTTGTGGTGTTGTGTTGTGATGTTGTGGTGTTGTGTTATAGTATATTTATATTTGTACTCTTATTACACACACTTGTTAACATTTAATTTATATTTATAGGCCGGGACTTCTTCACAAGGTGCAGCCGGGGGTAGTCATAATGTGGCTGGTGTTGAGGATGAGGATGATGATGATGATCAGGAGGATTGATTGTCCTTAACATAACTTTTAAAAAAAATCTTGTGTTGTATAAACAATATTTCTTATGTGCCTGTCGAGAAACTTTTACTTGCTTTTATTGAATTAAATGTGTGATATATGCGTGAGATGTGATATTTGCGTAAGATTGAAGCTTTCTTCTGCTGATTGAACATGTTTTTAAAAATTATTATCGATATTGTACAGGGTATTTTCAATTTTCAAAATTTTTTCCAATTTTTTTTTAAATTTTTAGCGACGGAAAATCCGTTGCTAAAAACAATTTTAGCAACGAAAATTCCGTCACTAAAGTACTATTTAGCGACGGAAAACATGCACGAAATCACATCTGTACAATTTAAAAAAACAATAGCGACGGATTTTCCGTCGCTATTGTTTTTTAAATATTTTTTTTTAAATAGCGACCAATATTCAGTCGCTAATAAACCGTCGCTAAAATTTAGCGACGGAATTTCCGTCGCCAAAAGTCTTTTTAGGCACCCCTTTTATAGCGTCGAAACTTTAGCGACGGAATTATAATTTTTTCGTCGCTAAAATTTTTAGCGACGGAAAAACGACTTATAACGACGGATTTGTCCGTCGCTAAAAGTTGAAAATCCAGCAGTGAATGCATATTTTCAACCCCTGAAGTTCGGATTCAGCGGACCTCTGAGAAGCACGCCACACCTGCAATTTCAGGTCCATTTGAGAAGCGATGAAGGAAGACGCGCCATTAACATGAAGATTTTCCAAATTTTCAATATGTTGCTTAAGGTCAGCCAAGTAATCTTCAATCGAATCAGACAGTTCAGAGTATCTGTAGTCTTTAATGCCTGATACATAGCGATCGAGAGATTTTCTATAATGCTCGAAAGGTGAGCCTTTGAGAAGAATCCGATCAACCATGATATTGATGAAGGTGACCAAACTTTGAACGTCAGCATAAAGGATAGCCTTAGCCAGATCTTCGTTTGCCAATAAAGTTTGAATATGATTGGACAATGACAAAGAAGGAGCTACAAAATGAACATGTGAAATGGATATAAGATATACAAACCCATGCATAGCAACGAACGGAAACATGTTATGTTCATTAAAGAACTTAATAACTGGGTTACCTTGGCTTGGCGAGACTACAATAGGCTCTACCACAACTGGGATTTGCTCAGAAGTAACACTCGTCTGTTGATCTACTATCCCAGATAATTGTTCACCTGAAGCCCCAAATGGCTTCGGATCCAGATCGATAAATTCTTGAGGAACAAGTTCTATAAATGAGAAAAGGATGAATAAACACTCTGCAAGTATTAATTCAACTTCGAAGCACAATTAGACGAGACGTACCGAGTTGAGCTGATGTTGCAGGAAGTTGCTCTTCCACGGTAACTTTCGACCCTCCAGCGTCATGAACCACTAGAGTCGGATCGGAAGTTATAACAGGTTCAGCTTCGACAATATCAGAAGTCGGAGGAACAGTAACTGGCGGTTCAACTTCAGCTGGCTGTCAAAAGCAGAAAACCCGAACCTTCAGGCTGATCGCATTCACCAATGACAGTAGACGCATCAACTTCATTCGTTGGTCCTACATCTAAATTTCTTATTCTAGTCATTAAAAGATAAGAAATAAAAGCTTAATTGAAGACTCGAATCCTAAAATACATACCTTCTGATGCGCCTACTTCAGCTGAATCGACCCTAGTGGTTGGTCCTGCAGTAGCGGTCAGAGCCGGAGCTGACAGTATA